TCATTTCAGAAACACAGAGGTAATTATCTTTTCCTTGGGTGGCACTGGAGTCCTGACCCCCTAATAATGAGGTCATAGCCCCATGCAGGAGCCTTCACTAGTATTTCCTTCTTTGCTTCACCCTAAATAATTCAGATATGAATACTTTGCAAAGCAACTTGAATGGTTTATTTACTGTGCATATCTGAGTAATTGGGAATACTAAGAACATTCTTGTACTCTCTGGAAGTTCAGGCAAGGTGAAGCTCATATTTTTTTCGTGAGAGTCCAGAAGATCATATTTTTTAAAAGTGTAGGACTCCTGTGGAAACTATTCTGTTATAGCCAATGAGTAACCACAAGCACCTTCTCTCTTAGAATGAAAGTAAGCATTGAGAGAGAGAGGGCAAACGTAATTCATCTAGGGAGTTCATCTTTGGAAGATGAAATGATATACTGGGAGATATAGTGATAAAAAATTAGAAGAGTTTTTTCTCTATATCTCTGAGTCTGTTTCTGTTTAGTTTGCTTATTTATTCTGTTCTATTCTATTCCATATATGAGTGAGATCATATGGTATTTGTCTTTCTCCATCTCACTTATTTCACTTAACATAATGTTCTCTAGGTCCATCCATGTCATTGCAAATGGTAAGATTTCATTCTTCTTTATGGCCAAGTAATACTCCATTATACTAGATGGGAGGGGGCAGGAATGGGGGAGAAGGTGAAGGGTTAGAAAGCACAAATTAATAGTCAAAATATTGCCAGGGGTATATGAAAGGCAGTTGGGGAATGTAATCAATAATGTTGTAAAGATTTTCTGGGTATCAGATGGTCTTATTAGGGAGACTACGTCATGGACTGTGTAGATGCCTAACCACTGCTGTGTACACCTGAAGCTGAAGCTGAATAATAATGAATGTCAACTAAAATTAAATATATATATATATATATATATGTGCATATGTATATATTTATATTTATATTTGTATTTATATTTATTTATATTTATATTCACGGGATATGGAGTACAGCATAGGTACTAGAGTCAATGGAATTTAAACCGCTATATACGATGTCAGAGGGGTAGTAAATTGGGGGAGGGGATTATCACTTTGTGAGGGGAATAAATGTCTATTACATTGTTTTGTACACCTGAAACTAATAAAAAAAATTAGATGAAAGCAGGTTTACTTGAGACAAGGCAGGCAGCTATCTGACAGTTTGTGTGGATCGTTGAGGGATGCTGTAATCAATGTTTTGTTCTTATCACAGTGAAGAAGAAGGTGATGATTTTATTTCTGCTTTTTGCTTTCTGAGCATCCTTTTGCCATCCACAGGAGGGCAGTCAGGTGGCTGTTGGTAGCTAAGGCCAATTTCTTTTCAGGTACTTACCTTTCAATCCCTTATTCTTTAGATTTTTACTCATGATTGAGGTCCCCTCTTACATGTCATGTATGCATTAGGATGTTTGCAGTAAATGCATATTTACCCTATGCTGGTCTTTTAAATTTATTTCCGTCTGTCATGAACCTGAAACAGTGAAGTAGAAATAACTGTGCAACACTGCATAAGATCATGAACCATGCTCCTCACTGTACCCAGCTCTGCTATGTGGGATTTATATCTAACCATGAACCTTATGTAATAATTTCACAACCTCTTCTGATCAAGGGATTTCCTAACACAGCATCCATAGTACCAATGAACTACTGTGATATTAAAATTTTGTTTAAATTCTATTTACCACCCCTATCTTTTTGATTGCCCTAAAGTGGTTCTACCCTTTATAATACCACCGAAGACTAGAAGCGTGGTTATAGAAATACAATACAATCACAGACCCACCTCCCTCTCAGTGCTTTTGAGATCCCTATGTGTTGTTTCTCTCCAAAATCTGTGTTTACCTAGAAACTCAATGTGTGACCTTATTTAGTAATCGGGTTTTTGCAGATGTAATTAGGTGAGGAAATCATCCTAGATTTAGATTGGGACCTAAATCCAATCACTGATGTCTTTGAAAGAGAAAGGAGAGGAATATTTGGAAACAGAGGCACAGACAAGAAACCATGTAGATGGAGAGATTACGATGATGCAGGCATGAGCCAAGGAAGATGAAGGATTGTCTGGAGCCACCAGAAACTAGGAAGAAGCAAGGAAGGATTCCTGCTCAGTCTTCAGAGGGAACGTGGCCCTGCTGACACCTTGACTTCAGACTTCTATCCTCCAAATTGTGAGGATCAATTTCAGTTATTTTAAGCCACCAAGTTTGTTGTAATTTTTTAAAGCAACCCTAGGGAATAAATACACCAAGGAAGAAAGAGGGTATCTCTTTGAAGCACCTCCACTTAGAGTGTTTGTTGCTACCATCCTACCAGTGATCCAAGAAAATTAAAACAAGCTGCTTTTAATGTGAATTTTATGCTTTGGCGCAGCTATAATTTCTGTAATCTGGTAAATGATAATGTCACAATGAATGTAAATTTAAATTGTCATTTGGTACATCATTTTTATTAGTTTGTTGACCTCTTACACACATCAGCCGTGGGAAGACAAGGGGCCTACTATTTGTATTCAATATTCAATCAGGCATAGATTATCTGCATTTTAAAAGTCACACTAAACTTAGCCATCTTTTACAGAATAACTGCCAACTTGTTTAAACTGTTTATGCTCAAGGGCAGTTCGCTTCTTGTTGAAGTAGCCTGTTTTGGTGTTGCAAAGTTCTTTAATAAATTCCTTAATGTGGAGTTAAAATATTGCTAACTGCAAGATCTTCACTTCCATCCTAATTGTAGCCCACAGGCCAGCCAGATGAATTCTACTTTTTCTCTTTCTTTTCCCTATGAGAACATCTTTAAAATGTTAAAGTTCACGATCTTGTTCTCTGTATATTTAATAACAGTGTTTTGTTCCTTTTACTTTTCTCAGTAAAACACGTTCATTCCCCAAACAATGCTCAGAAAATGAAGTCTTAATTTCATGTGCTATTAACGTCTTTTAATATTTCCTGAATTGGCTTTGTCTCTTCGAGAGCACAGCAGCCAAATTTGAACACGCCTTTTTAACATGTTCCACAGTGCAGTGAAAGGCAGTGTAGGACTCTATCGAGGCTTAACAAGTACAGATTGATGAGGAATGGTGAATCTTCGGGGGATTTAGAGAATCCCTGCACTGAAGATTTCATGTAGAAAATATTTCATACAGAAAATTTGACTGATTTCATACAGAAAATAATTTGACATTTAGAAATAAATCACATGATTTAAGAGTGTTTTGCCTCATTTAAGGTACACCTACATAGTCTGTGAACTTAGTATTTTAGTCCCCTCTATAAACATCTTTTCTGCTTTATTTTGAGTTCTAATCGGTAAATATAAACAATGCAACTTTCCCAGTCATGGCTATGTGATCTGATGGGCTTCCAAAGTCAGTTGTTCAGCAGAACTAGGCAGGGACAAAAGTGCAGGTACAAACATCTTTGTTTGTCCCCATGTTTTATGACTAGGCCCACCTAGGAGATTGCCGAGCACACTGAGCAGCTCTGGAACTCGCAAAGGAATCACATCCTCTGCAAACAGGATGCACCGCTACATATATTCCAAATCCCGTTTGTGGTCTGTAGCTCATTTTAACATCCTATTAGCTTTTGACCAAAAACAAACAAACAAACAAAAAAGACATTTTGTTGGCTGTTTTTGCACTGTACTGGAAAGAGTGGCCCACAAAGAAGCTGAGATTTGTATTTGGGTAAGTGCCAGAATTTTAAAGAAATGAAGGTGGAAAAATCAGTAACTGAGGGGAGAAGAGCAGGGAATACTGCAAATGTATAGCAGGAGAGGGTGAGGAAGTCCTGCTGAACAATACTTTCTGGAATTCACTTTTGCTCAGGAGAAGCTACCTGCCAATAAAGACACACCACGATCTTAAATCTAAAAACCTGTCATCATAAACATTGACATAGAGAAATTTTCCAAAAATCTACTCATATCCATCATGCTGTAAGATTACCTTTCTTATTCCTTTTTAATAAAATCTTTTACCACTCATGAGGGGGGGGAAAGACTCATGGTGTAAAACCACTCATGGAAAAGCAGCTTTAAATGAATCTGTGGAAGTGGCTCGAAACAATGATAAATCAATGAGATTAAATTAGACAGTATATGAAAAATGTATTACACATGAAAAAGAGCTTTAGCAATGTGAGGTATTGTAGTTTCATAATTATGGAGTAATAGCTTGAGCTCATATTGGGTGCTTTGGCACCATAGAAGACTTTATTCATGAAAAGGCATTTTATCAAAAAGAGAGCTTTTATAGTTCAAATGTATTTTTAAAAAGCAGCTCTCACTTATGTGATACTCAACTCTCAAAGTGCAGGTGTGACCAGATTTTCTGGTTTCTCTTATAGCAGTTTGTGTTTATCAGGAAGAATCTGTATTCCAAACACATGCTTCATCTCACAGGGCAATTACAGATGGCCTCTCTTTAGGTACCAAAACTGCGTATAGAGAGAAGCTTATAGAACCGTTTTCTAGCACAGGCGTTTGCTCCTGAATGGGTAAAGTATGACGAGACCCACCCGTCAACCTAAGCTACCTGAGTGGACTGGGTGGGAGATTAGAAAAGAAAGACACAGACACAAAAGCTGGGATCGGGAGGTCCACTGACCTCTGATGACGTAGCAATGGCCATGTTTATTTTTTGCAGAAAGCTTATGCAGAAAGCAGTAAGCAGCTGCAGGAGGTCTGTTTATTGGGTTAGACATAGTAAGTTACATCCTGTTATGCACATCTCTAAGTGCACAAGCAGGTTACATTTTGTTATGCACATTGCAGAAGCTCCTGCGGCTTCAGCTATTCTTTTTTCTTCTTGGATCAGTGGGAGTGGAATGTTCCCTGAACTGTTCCACAGGCTGTGAGGACCCTGTCAGCTCACAGCCTGCTCCCCACAAAAGTACATGCCCAGATCCTGAGGTTCATAGGAAAATGATTTAATAATGTATAAAAGAAATATAATTTAGGGAAAATATTCTCTGTAGCCTGAGTGCATCTTTTCCTTTAACACAGCATGTAATTTTATCAGAAGTTCAAAAAATAGAGGAGTGGCAGTGTTGAGAGCCTGCTCGATAGCCGGGGCACCTGGGTGATCAGGCCAGGAACCCACTGAAGGGTCCCTGAGCAGTATTGATCGATGCGAGGAACTGAGAAAAGAGATGGCACAGGCACCAAAGTTAGGATTAGGAGGTTCACTAATTGCTGATGGCAGAAAGTGACAGCATTTATTAAAGGTGCACTGCTTATATAGAGAGCAAGTTCCTCTTTTGCCTGCAATAATTTCTTAGCTAAGTATAGGGAATCTGGTAGGGGGTTTTGGGGAATGAGGAACCCATGTCCCTGATGTAAGGGTTTGGAAGTGAGATAATCTCTTGGCAAGAAGTTACATGATTACATAGCATAGACTGATAATATATTTTAAGGTGAAACTGAGGCAAATAGCAACTGTCAGCAAGTCCATGGTGGAAAGGTCCAAAGTTCATAAGTCCATAATTAGACAGTGACATCTGAGGGTCTGGTGGTTGTCGTTCAGGAACTTCTGCTTTTCCGTGGCACTGGAGATGAGCTGGGCGTGGTTGGGTTACATGCTTTTCTGGCAGTTCCCCTTCTGCTGTTCACCCAACATGCAGTTTTGCAGCCTTTTCCTCAGCACACAGAACGTGGGGGTCTGCAGCCACCTTCCATTCTCCACTTGCAGTCAGCCTAGAGTCTCACTACTCTGAGACGGCTCGCAACATGGCAGGAGGAAGAAGGGGGCAAACCTACTTTAGGTAAGAATTAAAACTGTCAAGAAGACACACTGTCATGTGTTTTATTAAGTTTCATTTCATACTTTTATATCAGTTAGAATGTCCCTAATTGTTCTTTTTTTTTTTCCCCTATAGCATTTATATGAGCGTTTCTGAGGAATGGAAAAGAAAATACTCATTCTAATTGAAGTATAAAAGTAATCCCTGCAATATTATTTAGAATTTTGAAACACTAATATATTTTGCCAAGTCCACAAAATTTAAATTTATAGTTCAAAGACTAAAAATCAATTTAATAAAAAAATAGATATCATAGTTAAACTTTGGTTCAAGTCAGTTGAATATTATTTAATTAAAAAGCTCATAAAAAGAAACTGATTAATTCTATTTAAAGAGAAAACTTTAAGTTGGTCAAAACTTTCTCTAAAGGAGGAAGGACTTCTTAAAATATTTTTGCCTGGCTGCCCATTAATTTTTACTTTTTGCATATAGCTAAAATGCCTACTCTAAAAATTACAAAAGCCATCTAATGAATGTGGCCTTCCTAGAATGTAGAAATAAGCTAAAAGTTCTGACATTATAGTTCTATTACAAGATATTACAAGTTCTAAGACAAGATAGCATGGAAGTCAGATTTGCAATAATTAGAAAAATCCAAAACAGTGGGCACATCCTTAAAGTAAGAAGAGCATTAATTGATTAAATAAGGTCTCACTATCCCCTAATACCTGATACTTATGTTAAAACTCACTCAACTCATAAAAAGCACTTGCAAGTGCCACTCTCAAAGCTCAGTGACAAGTTCACTACATGCATTTCTAATGAGCGTTACACATAAAGACCCCTGGTTTTTCTTGTACCTCCCTACAGGGGTCTGTCTGTCTTGATCCATTCAACGTAACTAGCAAGCGAATCATCCTAGACCTTACAACCAATAGCCTAAACCTTATAGAATATAACATTATCAAATAAACTTAGACCTTGATGATATTTTTTAAATCATTGACTTCTGTTAATTTATAAGAAAAAAAAGATCAGGGATGATAAATGACCTAATTAAGGTTATACAGACGCACAGTCAGGGTTAGAAACTAAACATACCTAATCTACATTTCCCCCTGTTCTTCAGTTATATAACTTACACTTTTATAAAATAAATGAAAATTTGATGGATAGGCTAAAAAGAAGAGGGATATTAATAAAAATAAGATGGGCTGATTTTGATATAAGGTACACATTGACTCATTTAGGACATAGTTTCTGATATTAATTTCTATTTTCCTTTAATAATTATAGTAGTTACATATAAATTCTAGGGACTTTTAAGGATTTCACAAACAATTCCACAATAAGTAAAAACAATGTAAATACAAAATGGGAATTCATTTGGTACATGAATTTATTCTCAGATTTTAAACTGGGTTCTCTCTAACTAGAATAGGTTTTCCTTGAAGGCTGGTATAATAAAATGTCTTACTAGTGCTTATATAGCTGCACTGAAACTGTAGATGCCTTGTAGATGTTGTTAAAAGCTAAACTTAAGATGAGCCCTTTGTGACTGCTGGGGTCATGCTTCAGTTTAATGATGAAGCGACATCGCCAGTACTGATAACCTCAACTTTTCTCCCTGCCTCTCATCAAAGTCTTCCTTCTGAAGCCTCAGTAAGTAAGAAGTAAATGAACCACAAGGACTAAAACTAACCCTGGGGAATTTGCAGTTTAATAAAGATCAAAGCCTCCAGCTAAATTGATAAATTCTTGATATTGGAAATCTGGGCATCAGCAAGAATTAAGGCAGGGGAAAAAAACAAACAAAAAACTTTCCAGCACCTGGCAGTCACCCTGTATAAAGAACATAGCTCCAAGTCATAAGTATTTTGGAGTTTTTTGATGATGTTTTCAACAAAAATTGCCTGTTGCTTTTATTGTATTATACTAGTCCCCAGGAATGTTTTTCAGCTCCCTACAGAATGCCAAGAATGGTTTGGATGATGTGGAAGAAACGAACTTCAAAAACAGCAGTGTAAATAAAGGCAGTGTTTTTCAGAATAACTAGTGTCAGCTGTGTGATTCCCTAGGGCAATAATTTGGAGGCTTTTTACCTTTCTAAGGCCAATTTGAGCCATTTCCATTGGACAGAATCTGAGTACTCTTGTATAAGATGTAGTCGTCAGGTTATAAATTAATTTTGAGCATGTCTATAACATTTCCCAGGCTAGAAATACTGTAAATGCTTTCAAATTAATGCTTTTGGGTTTTTCTTTTAGGCTTGGAAAGCTGGGAAAGGAATAGACATGTGGATGTGGGTGTCCACCTGCATATACAGAATATTATAGAGCTACTTCTTGTCTACTTAAAAACGACTAAAAGGAGAAATTAAAATTGAAGATTGCAGAATGTGTTGTAGTTCACAAATTTAAATTTCTAGATTCCTCCTTGAGCCTGTACTCTCAAAGATATGCTAAGACTCCCTTGCTCGGTGTGGCAGCCTAATAAAATTAATAGTGTATGGATTGTAGGCACTGAACCTGCCCTCATACTGTGAAGGTGGTGAAATTTCTCTGAGTTGCTGAAATTGGAACTCACCAGGCCTCTACGTTCTGTAAAGCAAAATTTATCAGACAAAGATAGAAGTCTTTGGAGCAAAGCTGGTCCTTTGGGTATAAGCGTCTGCTCTACCTGCCCCTCATTCTTGGTCCTAGCCACGTTTCCTGTGGAGGTGCAGCCAGTCTTACTCAAGGGTGGGTCTTTCCATCGTGCATTGCAGAGTGACTTCACTGCAGTGCTTTGGTATTGGGCATGCATGAACTTGAGCAAAGTGACCCTATCTTATTTGTTAATTTGACACAGTGAAGTTAATGAAAGTTTGCTGAGCTATTTGAGTTCATGGATGGTTGGAAAACCTCCTCTTGGAGCTGTCATTGGTCAGTCTGAAAAGTCAAGCACGACCTAAAATATATGCGCACCCTAAAACAGAAACAGTCACTTGCCATGTACATGCATTTCCTTGTATTTCTATTGGCATAGTTCATTCGAAAAGTAATATAGATGTTTACTATGTTCTAGGAGATGGATATGCAACATTAGACAAACAGGTTTCTGCCACCTTTGATCTTTCACGCTAACCTCTTTTCACATCTTTACTCAAACAGGTTATCTTTAACCAGACATTACCTAAATACTACCCTTTTTTAGCAGATTGAGGTAATTCAGGCTGCTTCCCACTGGGACTGGGATATAAAGATTCAGGTATTCTTTTAAGTTTGGGCAATATCTGATAGTGCTTGTATTATTATTCTACTCTACAGTTTTTTGGGGTAATTGATTCACAAGGTGGTAACTGAGCCCTGTTCACTGGCTGAGTCTCAAGTGTTGTGGGTTTTAGAGCATTCATGTCACCAGTACATCTCTTTACTTAATTGTCTACTCCTTTCACCAACCCGAGTCTTAAGCTGGAAATTCCTAAACATGATGTCTGTTTCAAAATTTAGCATACATGGCCAGTTGAGTGGCTCAGTTGGTGAAGAGCTTGCTCAAGTGTGTGAGCTCTGAGCAACAGTAATTTGAGTCCCAGCTCGAGCTGAGCTGCCGCTGAGCTACCAACAGGTGGCAGGATGGCTCAGCTAAAAAAAAAAAAAAATTTAGCGTACAAATTAAACTTTATTTTTCTTTATTTATAGTGAAAAGTTGAAGGAACATTTGCACAGCATAGAGCCTTAAGATTAGGATTCTTAGAGATATAAAAAATGAATGCAAATTTTAGCTCCTATGGCATTTATTTAGGATGGCTCCACCCTCAATATAGGCACTTTTGAGAGAAGAAGATTGGGAACCAAGAAAGCTTGAAGTGAAATTCATCCCTGTGATTTACTAGTTCCATGGTCATGTTAGTTGCTTACCTTTTATAAAACTCACTCTCCTTATCTTTATTTATTTATTTAGGACATTGTACTATTTTCAATTTTTATTTTTTTAAGATTTTTAAATTAAAATATAGCTAACATGCAATATTATATTAGTATTGGGTGTATACTATAGTTGCCCAACATTTATATACCTAAAGGAGTGATCACTATGATAAGCCCCACAACCATCTGACACGTACCATGCTATCACAATATTATTAACTATATTCCCCATGACTTACTTGTTTTACACCTGGAAATTTGGACCTCTTATTCCCCTTCACCTTTCCCCCTTTTTAAATTTTTCAATTATAGTTGACATTCAGTATTATTTCATATTGATTTTAGTGTACAGTGTAGTCTTTGGACATTTATATAGTTTAAGAAGTGATCCCCCTGACTCGCCTAGTACCCACCTGGCACTATATATAGTTATTACCATATTATTGACTATATTCTCTATGCTTGTACTTTACAACTGCATAACTATTTTGTAACTACTGATTTGTGCTTCGTAATCCCATCACCTTTTTCACCCTCCCCCACA